TTCACTACAGTAATAGACCTATAGTCTACCAAGTACTATAAAAAGCTTATAAAATTGTGTGCACATTAAGTATTTTACATTATTTTATATATATAAAATAGTATATAAGTAGTATAAAAAGTATGTAGTACATACAGAGTCTTATACAAGAACATTTTGCTGATATTGTTTACCTTTACTTAAAAAGTCCTTCAAGGATTTCAAGAGCTTTTCTTGTGATTGTTGTGACCTAAAATATCTGATTTCACAGCAGGTTTTCTAAGAAAATATTGTGCAATGTTTCTAGGTATTTTTTGCAATGAAACTGTGGAAGAAAGTGAAAATCCCAAAATAGTTTGCTTTCGAAGGTTTTGCATTTTCATTAGTTTACAATCACTTGAAATTGTTGTGTTTTCGCACCTTTAGAATTTTATCTCCTCTTCTATGGGGTCTGCCATGTTGAACCACCATCTTTCTACACTAGCCCAGAACTGACAAACCAAACACTGGCTGTAGATAGGGCCTTTAGACTTATTCAAATGGTTTCAATCTGCAACTTCACCGTTAGAGGCCACTGAATCCTACACACTGGCTACACAAAATTCTGCTTGTAAGGGGGTATTCTGAGACTTTTGGTATTTCTACTTTTACTGAATACTTCTTCTACCGCTGTCCACAGGTATACCCATCACTGATCCAAAGTACTTCTCTCAGATGAGCGTGGAGAAGTTGGCACACGTCCTTCGGTCAGACAATAAAACACCCATGCCCATGCTTCAGGAGCGCCACCAGGTCCCAACACTCTCATGTTAATGTCCCATATCTGTGGTACTAATCCACAAGTCAAACTTTACAAAACCATACTACTTGACTGCACATCCTTCACAGTACTTATATGTAACGGTGCTTTTTTAATTTAAAGACAAACAGATGTGGTGAGAAATACAAGATGTACCATCTCATCTCTCTAATCAATAAACTCAAGTCAATATAATACATGAGACACCAACCTTATATACCATGTTCCTTGACAGGTTATTTTATTCCTTTTTTACCACCTCTCTGCATTTATTTCCATATATACATTCATATACAAGACAAACTGATTTCAAAGCTCATATAATTATGATATCTATTAATGTTACATTACTGGCTGAACTCCATTCCCTTTATGATGAGTGTAAATTGAAAGTGTGCAGCTCTTAACCTCCTACTCATCATGAAAGTTAACTTTGAACACGTCACATACTGAATCTTCCTCACAAGGTGCTGACTGAAGGCGGCCGTGTGTTGCTGGAACACGGCGGAAGCTTCCGGAGTTTTATCAGCCGAGCCGGGAACGACGCCCAGAAGATGGTGGAACTGATCGTAGAGAAGATCCCATCCTATAGGGACGAAGCTACATATGAGGTTAGAGTTATAGAGGGTTGAGACAGTTTGGACAATTGTGGATAAAATTTCAGGTCTTCCAGTAAAGTTTTCCCACAAAACATCCTTGAAATTCTATATTTTTACTGCTTGACAAGCTCATGGATTAATGATTTCACATTTTTTGTTGTTTAGGTTTTATTTTGTCACCTATCTCACATGATTAAAACATTTAACACATCTCAGATAGTAAAATTATGTAGTAATGGATAGGCCAAGTCAAGTTCATTTATATAGCACATTTAAGACAGTGTGAGTGCAATGTGCTTCACACACAGCAAAAAGATAAAATAAAACATGAATACATTATAAAGTTATTTATCCCCTGCCCACCCACATATGCTGAAAAAGTGTGTGTGTGTGTGAGAGAGAGAGAGAGATAGACAGGAAGACAACCACTGAGATGGAGGCATTAGCCAGGCATAGTCCCGAGAGATGGGTTTTAAGCTTACTTTAAAAATGACAGCACAGTTGTGGTATTAAGTATTAGGTGATTTATAAACCATGAACAGTATTTTGAAATCAATTCTGTATTTTATCTGAAAGCCAGTGAAGTGATATAGAGTAGCATGTTCAGTTTTTCTTGTCGCAGTGAGTGCACTCTCAGGCCAGAGCCGCCGTACTGTCTTTGGGAAGTCTGGCAAGAAGAGCATTACGGTAGTCTAGCTTAGAGGGGATAAATGCATGAACCAGTTTTTTAGCGTCTGACTGAGACAAGATGGATTTAACTTTGGAAATATTTTTTGGTGGCAACATGCTGTCCCAGTATAGTATGCTTGTAATGTCACCTGTGAGGCTGCGTTCCGAATCCAAGATAACACCTAGATTTCAGCGAAATCAGTTTGGGGTGGGTCTCCTGTTTCTGACCTCAACTGCCTACCACAAGGATCTTTGGTCTTTGTTTAATTATCTATTGTCTATTATATATTACTATGTAAGCCAATTGTAACTTCCACAATATTTGGGGAAATAAATGCTTTAATTTTATGGAGTCAAAGTCATTGCTTGCTCCAGTTTTTCTCCAAAACTCATTGTGTATACAGTGAATGTAATGTACAATTGTGTGAAGACTTTGAATTCATAATCTTGTAAAAATATATACAATGTATAAAACATAGGAAATGCATGTGATCTGAGATAAATGTATGCATTTGGAGAACTTAAGATAAACTGTGATGTGAGAGTTCCATCTTCTGGCCAAAGACAGCGCAGCAAGATTTCTAAGTCTTCATATTATACAGTCAGCGAAGGAGTAAATTACTCTTTATTATGTTATCTTAGTTCGATAAAATCTGTCTAGTAATAAATAACAAAGGCTTAAGAACAAATGATCAAACAGCACATAAAGATTGTAGAAATGCTCTCTGTTTCAGGGGAAGAGAATCTCGTTCTACAAGCGAGCCCAGATCCTGGTGGCAGATTTCTGGGGCATCATGGAGGCCAGAGGAGAGGAAGACATCATTGACATTGACTGGCTCACCATGTTCGCAGACTACAGGGTCCCTCAGGTTCTCGTATACTTCGGAGCACTACGATACTCTGGCGCACTGATGCAGGCCCTGAAGAACGGTGAGACAGGAGTGTATGTGCACGTGTTTCTCTGGTCATAAAGAAATCAAACATTTAAAAATAGAAAGCCATAATCGCTCTGCATGCTATGTGTTTGTATCTTATTTCTCTCAGGCGAGCTGCTGAGTTCAGGGGACAGACGAGAGGTTGAAATCCGAGGTTGTTCAATTTGGTCTGTGGAGCGGATCAAAGACCGTCTTTGCAAGCTGGTGCAGGAGAAAGATGGACAGACCTGCAACATCAACTCCGCAATCATCGACTTCTACCTGTGGCCTTACGCCAAGCAGCACCACAAAGAGATGGCCCACATTCCCATACACCACACCCGCTGTGTTTACTACTGACAAGTTAGCTGGCAGAATTACTTACAGTAGGCTGCACTTCTCAATGTGCAGCCTTGGCATGGGTGCCTTTCCCTGGGATAAAGCCAAGCGTGTCTCCGTGCCAGATATATGTACAAATGGGCTTCTCACTCGCTGCAATGGAAGCAAGTGTCAAGCTTAAATGTAGCTTGTTGGTGTATGTGGGAAGTAGCACTGTTGGCCATTTGCAGGCAATTAAAATGTTTACTGTTCATGTGGAACATTTTCCAAGAAACTTCTCACTGTAATGGATAGCAACTGATCACATACTGTATGTAAATGTACCATGATGAACACACCTGTGTCTCTGCAGAGATTTTAACTTGTAAAGTGACACTGATCAAACTGTGAAAATAAAACATTTTAATTAGATATAATATTTTTTAAGGATGTTGCAATAGATTAATTTCTGGGGATCATCACATCCACTTCTTACCTTAAAGCAGGATGTCTGCACTGCCTAAAGAAGTCTTCTCATTTCAGAAGAGATGTATTATAATCATAGTGATGAATCTAGTATAACTTACATTTGAATATAATGAATACAAGAGTTTTGAGTAACAAATGGGTTAGTTCAGTGTTAAATGGGACAAACAGCTGGAACGTGATCTGAAATAATTTGGAAAATCATTTATGTCATTTTGTTCACGTTAATTTAGAAAAATATTGTATTGCTGTGGGCATTTAGTATTTGCTTGGAGGAAGAAAAGGCAGGAGAAGGAGCAGCAGCCTGATGTAAAGATGTAACTTTTCTTGGGGATGAACTGGAATAAGACATGTTTAACTGATGATAAATTTTATACAATAAAGTAAGAGAGATATCTTTTAGGAAGATGTGTTGGGAGAGGTTTAAACTGGATATTGAATATTTCATATATATTTATATAGTAGGCCTATACAGTATATTTCTGCAAGGTAGAAAAAGAAACCTATTGGAGCCTCAAAATGTTAAATATCAAATACATCAGTCATAAAATAAATAATGTGTATAAATAGATTAAAATAATCAATAAATAATTAATTAAATTGTTAGAGCTTAGATCATTAATATAAGATAAAATGAGCCTTTATTAATCCCCAGAGGGGGAATTCTTGCGTAGCAGCAGGACAGAAATAAGTACACATAAATACTATATTCACTATACAAGTGACAATTAAACTCAAAATTACCAGGCATTTAATAACGCTGTATCTCAGCCAAAGCGACAGATTGGTGTGTTAGGTAGCAGAAAACTGTAGTAATATAAGAGTAATATGATACCATCTACTATCACATACACCAGAATAGTATATAATGAAGTACTTGTTTTCTGTATTAATATAGAAATATGATGTTGTACATTATTTAATAAAACAGTATAACATAATATAGTATGTGATATATGGGATATATATTTATAATACAGTATGAATATAATGTGGTATAATATATTATAAATACATTCACGTATTTGTTGTGCATGGAATATGAAATGCTTTTTCATTTTCATATGATCAGATATTTTATTGGAGCTGGAGGTGAGGAAGAAACAGCACACTCACAAGATGGCGCTGTTGCCTTCAGGTACCACTCGGTTCCGTCCTCCACGAAGCCTCTTGAACGCATCCCGCTTTCATCGACTGCAGCGGCACCACGGCGGCGGTTTCCCGGGCAACCGAGGATCGACAACAAACGGGAGCTGGGACCAAGACAACAACAAGACAGATGACAACGAGGATACTTAAACACACCAATATACGGCCAATATCCGACACAATGTAACGTTAAATCGTTTTGTTCATGTTTATTCATCTTCTAACAAGTTGAAGAGCTCAAAAAAAGATGTTTTACCAACTCCGCTGTGAGTTAATGGTATGAAAGTTACGTTAAGTCACGTACGAGTAAGTTAACGCTACATTAACGATAGTGCTTCTCCGTTACATTTCCGTCCGCCATGAGTGAGGAGTGTGTCCGGGTGGCGGTCCGTATCCGTCCCCTGCTTCGCAAAGAAGTCCTCCACAACCACCAGGTGTGTGTGCGGGTGGTGCCGGGCTCCGCGCAGGTGATGCTCGGCACAGACCGACTCTTCTCCTTCGACCACGCGTTTGGACAAACAGCCAACCAGGATGAGGTGTACGAGTCCTGCGTCCAGCCCCTGGTGGAGTCCCTGGTCGACGGCTACAATGCCACCGTCTTCTGTTATGGACAAACAGGGTCAGGGAAGACGTACACGCTCGGAGGAGGGGGGAACCTGGGTAAGTTGTACAGAGCACAGATGGTAGTTTTTATCCCCAAAATGAGGTTAGAAAGATCCAGACATGGATTGATTAGTTAGGAAGATTGGAAATCTTTGTCCAAGGGGTTTGTATACGGTGGGGTATATGTAATATTTGAGTGTTTTAAGATGGCACCCAGGATTTCAGCTGGTGGAGCTGTGGAGAGTGTGTAAATTGCATGATTTTTAGAGTTTTGTTCAAGTTCTTGTGTTAAAGCCATGGAAGCAAGCTTTCCTGACCAGTTATCTGCTCTTGTGCCATTGTTATACTAGACTTTTGACCTCAAAGGTCCCTTTTAATGCTTTACTCTCGGGTCTTTGCAACACTTGCTTTATAACTGTGTGTCTCCTTCCAAAACCTTCTCAGATGAAGAGGGAGGAATTATTGACCGTGTGGCCCAGGATGTGTTCTTTTTGCTGGGGGAGAAGAGGAAGAACAGTGATGGTGTGGAAGCCACTGTGCGGGTCTCGTATATGGAGCTGTACAGGGAGGAACTGCGAGACCTTCTGGAGCTGCACACCATCCACAAAGAGCTTCATATCAGAGAGGATGAGAGGGGAAACACAGGTTATTAAAAAGTCTTTTTGACTGGTAGTTTGTTATTAGTTTTGACTCATTTTAACTTTTTAAGATGTTATCACCCTCAGTCCTGTGTGGATTTTGTCCTTATAAACAGCTGGAGTTTGGATATATTTTATCCAATCTCCAGCTGTTTATTTACCCCAATCCTATTTAAGGACAAGCCCACATTCATTGCGTCACAAAGTTGTCCATTCATGTGCTCCAGTGAATCAGTACTGCACTTCCAAAAAGTCGGTTAACTTGCAAGAGACAGTTTAAAAAGTTAATTGATACAACCAAAGTCAACATATTGTGGCTTTTTAGCCATTCAACCAGATGCAAATTCAACAGATGCACTGTAGATTTTTTCCTGGGTGTATTTGTGTATGTTTATGTGTATATAAATTACTATATATATTGTTTTTTTATTTTATTTTATGTTATTCTATGAATTTGATAATCTTTTTCTATGTGTGTAACATGAAGGAACTACAAACTTTAATTTCATTATACAGCCTTGTGTTGTATAATGATGAATGGATTTCTTGATTGATTCCTGACACACTGGATCCTACATTTCCCATTGAATTAGACCCTCCTCACTTTGTTGATGCACACAGCTGTCAAACTCCATGCCCCCATTTTATAACTTAGGCTTTTTGTTCTAGATGTTTAGTCTGCAAATCCAAGAGATAACACTTGTGACATCGCTGAAATTGCAGAAGACATAATATGTATCAGTCAAAATAGTATTTATGATTAGTAAAATGATCTTAATGTGTCAAATTTGTGGCTCTTCTGTTACCTGAGGGCCAGACATTATTACAGAGAGGATGAGGAAGTCATAGTAATGCAGTGAGATTTGACGCTATGTTGCACATTGGATTACTGCCCACTGTGGAAAATACTATTACAACTAAAAGTGTTTCATCAAAAAAGGTAATTGTGTGGTCTTTTTTTCTTTCAGTGGTGGTTGGAGCCAAAGAGATGGTTGTCACCTCCGCAGAGGAGCTACTTAGTGTTTTAGAGATGGGCAATGCCCTGCGCCACACTGGCACCACAGGGATGAACGAGCACTCCAGTCGCTCTCACGCCATCCTCACCCTTCAGCTTACTCAGTGTTGCCACAACAACAAGTCCTCCTTAAAAGCGGTCCGATCCTCTAAACTCTGTCTGGTTGACCTAGCCGGCTCGGAGCGTGCTGGAAAAACAGGGAACACTGGAGCACGGCTCAAAGAGTCTGTTCATATCAACACGGGCCTGCTCGCACTGGGAAACGTCATCCGTGCCCTCTCTGACCCTGGACGAAATCGCCGTGGTAACAGCTGCAACAGTGCACATATACCGTACCGTGATGCCAAGATTACCCGTCTCCTCCGTGATTCACTGGGAGGCACCGCCCATACGCTGATGGTGGCATGTGTAAGCCCATCCCACCACAGTGTAGCTGAGACTCTGAGTGTCCTACAGTTCGCATCCAAGGCTCGACACATTCGTAACCGTCCCGGAGCAGTATCTGCTCACCCAGACGTTAAATCGTCTCCCACAACCTGGGACCCTGGTGAGGCTCGACTGGGCGAGCTTCAGTATGAAGTGCAGACACTGAGAGAGCTACTGAAAGAGAAGGAGAGAGAGGTGGGGATGGAAAGGGAGAGGACAGGTGGAAGACTTGGAGAGGGGGACCACCTCAAACAGTCCAGTCAGATGAGGATATCTGATCCATATAAGAGGGTGAACCAAGAGGAGCCAACAACGTACCGCCTTCTGGCACAGGAAGCTGCAGCCCTTCTTGCAGATATCCCTGGACCCACTCCAAGTCTTTCTTTTGGGCAGAGACTGCAGGATTGGCAGGAGAGACTGACAGCCCTCAATCACACACATCAAGCTGATGATAAGGAGTGTTCAGAGGTGAATGGAGACCAACCCCACCTTATATTAAAGCTCAGGGAGGAACTCAACAAATGCAAGGTAATGATAAAACATGAAAAAGAAACATCACATCAGCAATAAAAATGTTTTATCCGACAGTTGATGGGAACTGGTCCATCATCTAAGACATTCACAGAATACATACAGGGAATGGATATCCCTTTTTAGCTGCTGTATGTTTTCTCTTTTTCGGAGATGTCGGTGATGATCCCTATTTTTATCCATTAGGATCATGTAACACTGTCCACTGTGATATCCGTTATTACCAGAGGAGATCATACTGTCAAAAGCCTTAGTCACACTGGAGGAAGTTAGTTACATGGACAATTAAGTTATTTTTACTTACTAAAAAATAAAAAGGAGGGCTGCTGAACTGAATCATAAGATATCCACAAGTCAAGGTAAAGGAATCTCTCAATGTGTCTCTCAGGAAGCTCTCACCATAGAGGAACAGCTACTGGAGCAGAAGGATGCAGAGCTGAGACAGGTCCAAAAAGAAGTAGAGAAACTTCTTCAAGGGAGCGAAACCCATCTTCGGGCCTTAGAGGAAGAAAAGGAACGTACTCGTATACAGGTGAGGAGAAGTGTCCAGCTCTATAACAGTAGAAAGGGATACTGACACCTTCAGCATTGTATCTGCAAATAAAAACTGAATCTTTTCAGACAGAACAACTTGTGGACCAGCAGATGCTCATTAATCGTCTTCGCAGCGACCTCTTGACCTTCAGGGGTACAACATCAAGAGCAACAGTGGAAGCTGGGGCTTCTGGGAACTCAGGCAAGAGACCCCACAGTGTCCCTCTGATCAGACACAGCTGTGGACCACTGCCACCCAGGAGGGTAGGTAGCTGCACTGTGTTGTTCTGTCTGTGTGTAATTGTTGTGACTTTAATTCTTGTTAAGTTCTAAAAGATGTTGCTGCATACATTCATACGTGCATGCAAGCACTCACTTCATGGCTGTGCATATTTCTGTCCTTACACATGTGTTGTTGGTAGATTCACTCCAGTCCCCCAGCCTATTCACTGGAAAGGGTGATAGCAGCCTTTAAGATGCGCGGTCACCTCCTGCTGGCTGAAATTGAGGAAAAGGATGAGGTGTACTGTCCGTTCATGAAACAACAGGCAGAGAGCAAAGACAGGCATCAAAAGAAGAAGGAGGAGGAGGAAGAGGAGGATGAGGACATCTTTGTGGGCAGAATGGGATTTAGGTGAGAGCCTGTATAATGTAAGCCTACTGATTCTTTGTCAAGCCATTGGTAATTCACTACATTTATTACAGTATCAACCAATAGCCTGTGAGTCACTAAGTTCTTGTTTTTATGTGGCAACTAAGAAGCCAATAATTTGGTTATTAAATGAAATGTAAACTAAAGTGTGAAGGATTAGCTTTGTGTCAGTAAAGTAGCATTTTCTTCAGGTGCTAACATTTATTCCTCACCTGCTGCCGCTTTGTATAGCAGTGGCCCTCCATGCACCAACATGGGAAGTGAGGCACAGTAGGGGGTTTGTCATTTGCAATCCAGTGACACATTACAATTATTGTGTCAAGGATGACTGCATTTTCTGCTGTCAGCCACCTGCCTATTCAGATGTGGTCCACACAGTGACTTTAGTTGGTGCATCCAAGTTTCCTTCATCAAACACACCCTGAATGCTTTTAATTTTTACCTTTTTTATGCAATTTTCAACTAGTAGAAAGGAAAAATACTCTTTATTGTGGTATGGTTCCACCTGCAGTCTCTAACTTAAGTCTGGCATTTACTTACAATGCATTACACATGGCATATACAGTCTATTTAATTAATTACATTTTGGGCAACCAGCACCAAGTGGTTGCAAAGTACTGTCTCAAAATAACATCACCAATAGCTTTACCCTTCTGCACCTCAATCTAGTCAAAAATAACTTCCCACAACCTCCTTATTTCTGCAGTGCAAATTTTGGAGTGTATAAAAAGGTGCTTTGTGCACATCTGGCAGGCAGCGAACATACCGCTTTTAAAGACGTTGGGAGCAGCTAATGTGATTGGCCATTAACAATGCCAGCCTACATTGTTAATGTACAGTTTCCAAGTGTATTGCAAGGCATGCCATGCGCCACAGAAATACAAACACACCAATAATCTTTCCTTCAGAAAATCCTACAGCAGTGAATTAATCTGAAATGATGTGCCTAATCAAATACTGTGACGTTACTCCAGACATTCTTTAAACCGAACATGGACCAGCCAGCAGAAGAAATCAGCTTTGAAAGACAAAAACACTGGACTAGACCAAACATCTAATGGAAACCAATTAGTACAGCAGCCTCAGCGAGCCACAGGTATACTATTGTCCTTTTTGCTTTCCTGTTTCAGATCTCTCATATTCCAAGTAGTTATTTTATATCTAAGAAGTTGTTTCTTTTTCATATTGTCAGCTGTCAGATTGTTGCTATTTCTTCCAGGGACCAAGGAAAACCACGGCAATCAGAGCCATTTGAGGAAGGCGAGATTAAGAGCCAGTGTCACTCAGAGAAGGATCCAAGATCTGTCAGTCAACATGCGCATGAAAGAGGAGCTCCTCAAAGAGCTGGAAAAAACTGGTGTGTTTATATAATAACTTGTGTATTCCTGTAGGTTTGTCGTGTTTACTTAACATGTTATAGCGAGTGAAGAACAGTGGAAATCTTTGGCTGATTTGTTTTTTGTTTCAGTGAGTGTGTGGAATTCTGTGTCAGCCAAGGTCGGTAGAAACATTCCTGCAGCTTCTAGAGGCTTCTGTTAAGTGGATTTGTGAATCCAAGGAACAGTAGCACAGAGAAAGACAATGTGTTAGTTTGATGATATAGTAGCAACACGTACACATGACCAGCCGATAGTGATAATGGGGTACAGAAGAAAGCACATAAAAATCAAGGCTTTTCAGGTTTGGAAATGTTGCTGTTGCAGTTTGAGGCCTCCCTCTGAACCAAGGTCTAAGTGAAGGACCAAAAAGGGAGAAAATTCAGATCTGAAGTCCCTTTAAAACCTGTTTTGATTATAATCCTGTACTGTTTACCACAGACTGACTAATTCTTATTTACCTTTGATCGCCTGGGCTTTTATACTGAAGCTCCAGGCAACAACCATAATTACCATTACCATCATAGTAGTATCAAACATCTGAATGTGTGTTTTTGTCTGACAGACAAGCAGTCTCAAGCAGTGGACAGACATGGCAGGCACAGTGCTGATGGCAGAGCAGCCGACGTGTTGGCAAGACTTTCCATGCAGAGCCAGCAGGTCCGAGCGGAGGTGTACCGCAGCCTGCAGCACATGAGACTGCAGAGAGCACAGCTTCAGACCAGCCTCAGGCAGCAGAGAGAGACCAGTGACAATAACAGAGGACTTAACCAGAATGGGGTTAGTTGTACAGATTTTTAAAACCAAGTACCAGCAAACATGTCTGAAAAGGGATAGAAATAGAAAGAAGAGAAAACATTAAACTTCAGTTTAGTCTTGTGCAAACCTGTATGTCAGCTTTGTTGATACAAACATTTAAAATAATTTTTTTGATTGATGAGCAAATTTACAAGAGAAACAAATGGTAACACTGTTGTATTTGTGATCACTTTGATAGATATTTGATATTTCAGATATCCCACAACCAGTTAAGCTAGTAAACTTTGTGGAGAAGCAATGTATCCACAAAGTGTAAAAGAACAGTTAAAAAATAACTTAAATTTCATTCTTAATTGATATTTAAGTTTGACATTTAAATATAAATCTGGTTTTAGCATTTTAATATCAGTGTGACTAAACTATTATTAACCCTGATCTAGGTGGAAGGGACCATGAGTATGTATATCATCCACACAACTCAGTTGAGAGACTCATTAATGACCGGTTGAGTAAACATGATTTGTGTTTTTTTGTTTATAGGAGAAAAGGGCAGGAGACATGACTGTGTGCAAAAGCAATTTCAAGAAAGAGTCAAAAGAAAAGGTAAAACATTATTGTTCAATATAGAAGCAGTATACATTCTTCAGTTTTTGCTTTTTCTCCCCCAACAATCCTTTTTTCCCCTCCTCACCCTACTTGCTCCTCCTTGTCCCCCCTGCAGCTGTGTGACAGAAGTTGGCTGGAGGAGGAGGAGGAGCAAGTGCTCCAGAAGAGAGCAGAGCTGCAGGACCTGGAGGAGGAGCTGACGAGGAGGGAGGAGGTGCTCCTGCACAGAGAGGCCTGTCTGCAACAGAAAAACAAACTGGAGATCAAGATGCTCCGCTCCAGTCAGGTCAGCCTGTATATGTGTGAACATACACTCGATGCCCTTTGTGATATGGTGTTCAATTTAATTTTGGCATCACATATTATTGAAGCTTTTTATCAATCACTTTTCAGGCTTTAAGTCAGGACCTGCTGCATGTGTCGGTGCAGTTGGAGTCCCTGGAGGAGCAGCTGCAGAGCAGCAGTGTGAAGCAGGCTGGAGGAGTCACCATAGAAGAACTGGAGAAGGAAAGAGACACACTTAAAAAGAGGAGAGACATTCTTGACGCCCAGCTGAAGGACAACCGAGTGCTCACTGTGGAGGTCAGAAAAAAGAGAACATTGTATATGTGTATGATGCACAGGCTTTGGTAAACTGTTCTAATATCAGACCCTATTTCATGATGCATGTTATTGTTCATCAGTGTGCATCTTTTTGTGTCTTCATGTAGGAGGAGCACTCCCTGCTCCAGCTGGAGGAAGCTATTGAAGCTCTGGATGCAGCTCTGGAGTTTAAAAACCACTCCATCCAGGATAAGCAGAAGAAGCTGTTGATCTCCTCTTCACGTCAGTCACAAAGCACTGAACCCGCCCACCTCTGTGATGTCATCAGGAAGCTGAAGGAGCTTTCACCACCTGAGGCTTCAGAGCTGCTCGTCAAATATTTCAACAAGGTAAGATCGAATGCATATGTGCAACATTTAGCTCTACATAGAAAGTCTACATGCTCTTCATTCTAGTTTCCTTACCAGTGCCTGAATTCTGTATATTTGTATTCACTTCCTTTACCGTTTTCCTTTTCCTTTCTCATTATTTCCTGTGTATAAGTAAATTCTATGTATGCATGAATGCTGATTTCTTCTCTTTTTGGAGATTTATGTTTCTCCTTGTCTCTTCCTCTGTTGTTTACCTTCCCTTGCTTCTCTCTCCAGGTGATGTGCTTCTGTGTGTCAGAAATGCAGCTGCCCTATTTTTGTAAAGCTAATTAAATTATACATCCAGCCTCTGTCTGCTCCCCTAATGCTCCCCACTGTGCTCTTTATTTTTCCAGCTGACACGTCTTACCGTTTATAATAACATTATAAACTATATCAACTTCTCTGCAGGAGGCCTTTAGCACCATGTTTATACTATTACACCATGATAAACTCCCTCCCACCTGTTTTGCGATGTCCTTGATTTTTCTCTGCAGGTGTGAGAGTAAACAAAGGTTCAGCCAATATCTTTGTAATTATATTGCATTATAATGTGTTTCTCTGCTATATTATCTGGCTCCCTCCCACCTTTATCAATCTGTCCAGGTTGTTCGTCTTCGGGAGGCGGAGCACCGTTGGCGTTTGCGTTGCGAAGAGCTGGAGCTGCAGGCTGGAGAGCAAGAGGTGGTGCTGAGGGAGCTGGAGGTCGCCATGCAGCGCCTGGCCCTGGATGCAGACCGCAGGCTCACCCAGCAGCACCGAGATCACCAGAGCAACATCCAGCTACTGCTGCAGAAACTTAAAGGTGAGGAAATTTGGTCAGAAGTATCTGTACAGAAATTGTTTGATGAATATTGTTGTTTATTTACTTCTCTTTACCATTTGTCTGTGTGTGTGTGTGTGTGTGTGTGTGTGTGTGTGTGTGTGTGTGTGTGTGTGTTTAGAGGGTGGTTCAGGAGAAGCACAGCAGGCTATCCAAGACAGACTGCAGCATCTGGAGAAAGAGCTGTTTTTCTACAAAAGCTCCAGCCGGGAGCTTAAAAAAAAACTCAAAGAGCGTCACAGTTACACCCTACACCCTGTCAATCAGCTTTCACACACACAGGAGGACAGACAAACACACAATATGCAGATACATGCGAGGACAAACAAACCCCAGATGTACACTGACGAGGTACAGAAAAAGACGCATATTGCAACAACATACACAAAGATACACACGGAGCAAACAGACAAAAAGACACACAATGATTCTCACTTAAGGAGACCATCCTCATCCTCTGACCTCCAAACATGCAATAAGATAAAAGTGCCCGAATACAACACACAGTCCCTCGGGGGGAGTGAACGAGGGGCTGGTCACTGTGGGGAGAGCTTAGAGATGACACCGGTCCGGTTGTGTCGCAAAGAGCTGAGACAGATCTCTCCAGGTAACCTGCAGGTCTGTGGCTCTGCCACAAGGAGGCTCCAGTCTGTAGTGAATACCAGCACAGAATCAATACTAGAGGACTCCATAGAAGTGCCCAGAAACACTGACAGATGATTTGTGGATCCATTCAGTGGCTTTACGTAGATCATAGAACCAACAAGTCACTCAGCAGCAGCAGTGTGTACTGCAGATTCTAGTTGCTAGTAAACAACGGAAAATGTGTGTCACTATTGACAAAAACTAATTTAATACAAAAGAATTGTTGTTCCTCTCATTGCAAGTATCTTGTGAAAATGTTCATATATTGTTTGTTGGATAATACTTAATTTAAGGACTTTGTGGTGCTTTGAGATCGGTAAGTACCCACAAGCTCATTCAATTATCACATAATCACAATACTGGCCTATATTTAATGTATGTCCATATTCACAATATACTAAAGAATGAGAAGAATGTGTGTTAAGCTGAACAGTTTTTGTTCTTAGTTTATTCTGAATTCACCTTTCACGCCTTCGATGTAACCACAGAATAGTGAAACCATGAAATGTGAATTTGAATGTGAATGTGAGGTTATACCCTGAGGAGAAGAAAGTGTCTTTTAGATAGACTGAAATGTGCGAAATGTTGAAATGTTTTGATAGTGAACCTGTTCAGTCTCTTGTCATATCACTGTCTTCCTATTTATCTGTTTTCCTTTGTGGTCACAGATTTCCCAGAACCTGGCTATGTTGTATGCTGTAGCGTTGTGGCCATTCGCTATAAGACGAAACACAAAGAAAGGCCAGTGTGTACTCCCAATAACTTGACAGTGTTTTTACACTGAAAAACAGAGTGAAACACACCCTTTTTAGATTTTTGTCTCAGCTCTTGCCACACCCAAATACAACACTGCACATTTCTTGTTTTCTTCCCCTAAGTTATTTGGGGATCTTAAGTTTCAAGCTCTTGTTTTAAAGTTTTAAAAACAATCTTTAAAATGTTTCTTTGACATAAATACATAAGGTACAACCGTATGTATATTGTGTGAGAATGAGGTATTTAATGTGATTCTCTTCCTTTTGCAAACACACACTAGTTTAAGAGATAAGGAGGTTATGCAAAACATGTTGATCAATCTGTTGTTAAATGGAATCAAATAGTTCCTTGGGAAGAAAAAGGCACTGTTCAGCACTTAAAGTGGTAGAATAGGTTTGTTTTCTGCACTAAAACAGTCATAGAAAGCTTGGTAGTGTTTTGTATGCATTTTATTTTTTGATACAAACTTTTTCTATTTCTCTGTGCACTATGTACCATTAATTAAATGTTGATTGCTGTGTAAGTTATTTTTTATATGGGTGACTCTTGACTCTACGGTCGAATGTGTTAAATTTACTAATATCCATAATTAACCCATGGACAGATTGGGGAGATTAAATCACTAGACCTACTTAAGTCTATTTAAATGAAATACACAACATCAATAAACTATTAAATATCAAGGGTTGAGATTGAATCCCCCCAAAAACATATTTAGGTTTTAGTTCAAAAGGCAGCATAGCAGCATATTAACTGTGGAAAGATTGTCTTTCATTGTCCCACTGTCCAAGTATACTTCTGCTTTGTGCTGCCTCTCTCTGAAGTCCACACTTGAATACTGGGTCATACTTTTATATACCGTTATAAGACTTATATATTTGATTCTGAATTTCTTTCACTTAGAAAATTAGAAATATGATTTAACATTCACAGGTTTAGTTTTCTGCTGTTATTGTTATTGAGCAACTTCATTTAAGACAATGGGAGACCTAAACGTCGTACTAATTTTGAAAAAGTGATGTATCGTGTTCAAAATCAATAAAGATATGTGCTACAAAAAAGAATATGTAATAATAGTAATAATATAATATTTAATATCATTTTTAACACAGAATTGTGGGGCCCTTGGCATAGTTGTTATATCAACCTTGATAATGGCCAGTATTTATTATTATTATTATTACCAACTAAAGGACGACTTACAGCTGCAGAAACGCGAATGAGTGTGTGATTTATTAGAAGATAATCAATCATTTGCCTTATAATCATCGATTTCCCCATAACATACAATAAACAACATGTTCACAAAACTAATTTGATAGCAAATAAACAAAGAAGAACAGCTTATCTCTTCTACATTAACAACCGGCACTTTAAACAAAAGAACGCGTGTTCATGATACGGAATCTCAGCCTCTATCCTTTTTGGCCCCACCGGGCAGCTGTACTCAGGCAGTCGCTGGTAGCCGACCCAACCAGCAGTAACCCCGCACACACAGTACCGCCGCGAACAGGTGAAACTTACTCTTTAGCAACTTTTCTCGTGAGTATCGCTCCCTTTCGAGACAAGTCAGCGAGTGTGCCCGGAAGAACAGCTCTCTGTGAGTCCTTTGGTGTGTTATTGACGGTCGTGCTTGTTTACTTTTGCACTTGTTTGGAAGCTAACAAAAAAAAAAAAAAAACCGGCTAAGCGTCGTACAGTTAGCTTGCTAACAACTTGCTGCTACATGCAATGCTAGCTGTGTTAACAACGACACAGTTTAATGAACATTACCCTCATCACGACCTCTGCTCGTTTCATTAAACATGTTTCCTCTTGCTGAGGGTGTGTTTTTAGTGGAAGAAGAGGCTGCGATCAGAAGCTAAATCGTTGTTTTATGTTCGCCTTTAAGTTGTCTTTAACTGTATTGTTCTCTATCTCCTCTTTTTTTTTGGTCATCAGTTAGTTTTTTGTTCCTCTTCGCAATGGCATCGTCTGCGATGATCACCGTCCCCACCACCGCCTCCCGCTTCGCCCTGCTCCAGATAGACTCGGATTCGGACTCCGACGCCTCCGATGCGGGGAAGACCACCACCAAAGGCGGACGGGACTCCTCCGGTAAGACCCGACAGGGAAAGGCAGGATCAGCCGGGGGGAAAGCGGGTCAGTGCAACGACAAGAAGAAAGACAAGAAGAAGAAGAAGAAGGAGCAGCAGCAGACTGAGGCAAACGAGGTGGGTGACAGAAGCATCTCACGACCCCTCTGCTTTATATTCACATCAGTGTTATTGTGCTGCATTATATGGCTTCCGTCTTGTGACAGACCTGAGTAGTGGCTGTGCTCCTCTGTTGTTTCACTTCACATGAACTGAAACTGCAGAGGGTGGTTGCCAGGTACATAAAAACAGATGCTTTGTTGTGTTTTTGCACTCAGCTTTGTACAGGAAGTGGTGGCATTTGTTCAAGTGAAGCATGTAACCAGGGTTTTTTTTTCTCTTCTATTTCTGTTGCTTGATAATGGCTCATTACTCTGATAAGGTTAGGGATATACGATGTTATCGTGTATCACATTCCTTGACTTGGAAAAGCTGTCTAGCTCGCCAGCATACATGCTATATTGAGTTCCTGATTTATTTTGAACAAGGGGATGAGGGGAGAGCTCACATCTTTCCTGTATAGATTACAAAATAAAGAACAGGGAGATGAGGTGTCTGTGATGCACTTTACAGTATTTTTTTAATGCCATTTTAAAAGTATAAAGTACATTGTCGTGGTTATCGTGTATCGCATTTATTCAGACCGAGATAATTGTGACATGAAACTTTCACCCATAATATTTAACAGATATTACACAGAAAAGCAAAAGCAACGATTTGTGTAGAAATAATAGAAAAACAACTTGAAGAGGTCACGTTGGAATCTAGGAACAATTTAAAGGGATTTTTTTGACACTTTGTAGGCACATCATTGAATTCATCTACTAACTGAAAAAAACCCTCAGATTAGTAGGGATTTTCAGTGTGATGAAGCCATTCTTTGGGCCGTTTATTCCTCTACGCCTTTATGTTGGACAATTGGAACCGGTTCTCGATTGCCATCCCTACAGATTAGTAGACAATTAAAATAATTGTAAGTTGCGGCCCTGTTAATATACAAGTGTACAGACCCACTAACCCACACAAACGCAGTAGACGTAGACATACAGGATTGGCATCAGTGAGCAGAAGGCCATAATAAGCCCCTAAACACTCAAAACTGCTATTGTTTACACATGTAGCTCACAATAGAGCATGGTAGTCAATAATAGTAGTAATAATACCAGCAATAATAGTAAGTGTCTGGATTAATCTTGTATCTCTCTATCAGTTACGTAATCTGGCCTTCAAGAAGATTCCTCAGAAGTCTTGTGCCCCACCTCCCTCTATGACACTATCAGGAATAGCCAGTGAACTTCTCAGTCCTGCATCAGGAGACCATAATATACCGCCAGAGGGGTGGCAGCAGTGGAAGCAGAGGGATGAACAGGTAAGAGAGAACAGCCACATAGTAAATATTTGAGCTGGCGAGCCATAATGTTCTCTTCATAGTCCATGTGCCCTTCAGGAAGCCACATTACTTCACGGTTGTTTTAGTAGAGCTGTTCAGAGGTCGCTAGTTGAGGGCTGCGTGCAGCAGCAGTATATTGTCTCTCCCTGATATAACTGCATATCCAACTGTTCGTGTCTGACGTAGACGGTACCAACTGCCTCAAGTGGATGTTCTTTCTCGTCTGTTTTCCTCCTCCGTCTGTAGATAACCTCTGAGCTATATGAGGCAGACTTGGAAAAGGCCTTAATTCTAAGTAAACTGGAGTACGAACAACACAAACAGGTACATTGCCCACACGCACACTAATATGCCTCTATTGAAGGTCAAATTTGAAGGGGGTCTTTTTTTTTGTAAAGGTCCACTGTGTAACTTTTAGGATGATCTATTGACAGAAATTAAATATAACATGCATAGGTATGAGTGTATAATGACCTGAAAAGAAGAGTTTTGTTACATTAGAATGAGCCGTTCTTATAAACTTCCATGGAGACCGTCATCTTTCTACAGTAGCCCATAACAGACAAAGCAAACACTGGCTCTAGATAGGGCCGTTTGCTTTTTTTGTGAGTTTCGCGGCCACCATAGTTACCTACACATTAGTCCATCACTTGATCTTCGGTCTCGACTCGACCTGCCTACATAAAGACACAGTAACCCTTTTATACAGAGTAATCTAAACTACAAGTGGTACACTGCTCACCCATCATGGATGTGAACACTCTCCCCTTGAAGCTGACAGCACTTTAACCTCATAGTCACTGTTCACTGCTCCAGTGAGCTGGAGTGGAGCCAAAACAATGAAAAACAAATCACTGTCCTGATATATTCAAACTGCATTGCATTCCTTAAAATAATTTCTAGCATGAAATGAAGCATGTATTCAGTTTTATTTTAAGTCAAAGTCTAGGTTTTTTTGTAAATGGTAATAATTATAAGTTGGATGATCTGCTTTCACTCAGCACAACAACACAAACACGTCCTCGCCAAAGTCACGGGGAGGAAAAGAGGGCGGAGGAAAGAAGGACAAAAAGAAGAATCAGCAGGCAAAAGACAAAAAGACAGTTTCCCTGCAGGACTTCCAGGCCGAAGGCAGTGCAGGTGAGCGAAACTTACTGATCTATTTCAAAAGTCATTAAACTAGGATCTTGCTGCAGTCTGTAGCTCAACAGGCTCCCAGAATAATATTTATTTCAGTGTACTTTTGTCTCTGCAGAACAATTGAGTCGGAAACAAGAGAAAGAGGTGAGCAAAGTCTCTGAGCATCTTTTATCTTTCTTAAGCTCAACTCTAACTCTTGTATGTATTATATAGAATAAATGTTTGAATTACCTGTAAATAATATGTACAGGGTTTTATTTGGGGTTAAATGGCATGTATGATGTGGCATATCCCCTTTTTGAAACATTGACACCATTCCCATCCAGGACGCCAAAGCGGCTAACCTAGCGCTGGGAGTCGGGCAGGAGGAGCGCTTTTTTAATAAGCTCGAGGATGACGTCACCCGGATTGTCCAACAGGAGAAGAGACGTGAGCAGTACTCTAACAACCAGGGACAAGAAGTCAACACCTCCACAGAACACGAACCGGTGAGTAGACGCTCCAGCTGTCTGTCATTGCTCTGGTGTCCACAGCTCATGAACGAATAAGCAGTTAGCTTTTTTTTATCTGGCCTGTTAGTAAAGACTACACGTTACATGCAGAATACAAGCAATACATGTTAAAATTAGTTGGATATTTTCTTTCCTGTTTTTCTGTCGCATTTCTTAGCCCGATTTTAGATACATTTTTTATCATGTTATAGTGTTGGGCGATATGTTAAATATACCAAACTAAGACCAATCTTAAAACAGACTTTGAACAACAGATACAAAATAAAACTTACTAAGACTCCATGTCTTTATTAGACTTTACACTGTTCCAACAGTCACCAACTCTGGTGTCTAACAGAGTGAGATATTAAAATATTCTGGCTCTACACGCTGTCGCTGCCTCTCTCTCTCTCTCTCTCTCTCTCTCTCTCTCTCTCTCTCTCTCTCCCTCGCTCTCTCTCTGATGCCCCCGACCCCCCCTCGCTCCTCTACCCGCTTCATGCCTCTCCTCTCCTGGCCTGTCGCTCTCCTGTCCCGGGCTGTCCCTGCTGTGTTCCCCGGAGTTAGATTCTTGTTTGGAGCCTCTGCAACTCACCTTCTTACTGTATTTCCTGTTGTTAAACTAGTTGAAATAAACCCTTAATTCACTGCATTTAGATGTGAAAATACACTGACTCTACAGCTGTTTTTCCTCCATGAGAGCCTCTGTGACAGCAGCAGACAGACTTTGCGGCTCTCACTATTCAGAGGCACAACGTTAAATTAACAACATAAAATGACAAAAACCATCCAAAAAAATGACCCGGTGATGGACTGAGCCAGTCGCAGATAGCCAATATATTCACCCAATCATCCAACTCTATCATGTTGTAAAAGTTCCCATTCCCAATCTTATCAATGGTCATCTGTCAGAAAAAACGGCGACTTATTTGAGATTTATAGTAGTTTTATTGTACTGTGAATTTTAGTCTGTCCATACAATCTCTGTATCTCCATGTCTCCATATTTACCAGTGATTGAAATAATGCAACATCAACCAAGTGAAGTTTGTGTTTCTCTACTGAGCTAAATTAGTGGGAAAGTATAAATTTGTCCTGACTTGCTCTTTTTTTTGTCTCTCTCTGTTCTTCCCGTTAGGACCCCCGAGCAGAGCAGCTGAAGTACGACCTGGAGAAGAAAGACCAGGAAATCGATAAGCTAAAGAAGACCATCTCACAGTGGGAGGTCAGCAGTCAAATGCAGTTACACCATTATTCTGTAATTTCACTGGAATATTATAATATCACCCTGATCTACCAGCAGTGTGCTAAAAATATATTTTTATTATACATTATTTACAAATGTATCATATATTTATAACCTAATTTGTTTCTACAAGAGGTTATAGTGTCCATGACTTACATTGACATGCAGTTATGATCATAATAAGACTACTGTAGACTACAGCCTTGTTTTAAAGTGATACTGTGGAGCATAAATAAGAATTCAGTGTAAAAATTAGTGCATGAGAATATGTATATATGTATATGTGTGCAAGGAGGGAATGAGATGAGATGGTGAGAGAGAAGCAGACTGTCTATGGAAAATTCAAACACAATTTCCTGTGGACTTAATGTGGCTTAAAAGTTTTCATCCCTGAAATAATTTCAGCTATGAGCAGCTTGAATTCCTGTTGGTTACAATGCAGTCCAATACTGACCACTTTCCAGAGTGAGAAAAAAAAATCATGAACATGTCTAAAGAAACTTCTTCAACCACAACTGTAGCATGAGCCACTTCTCCTCACTCTTTCAGTTGTGGCAAATTCTATAAATTCTTTAAAAAAACGACAACAAGTGTTTCTTCTTGTCTCTCAACTCTGCAGGGGAAGTACAAAGAGGTGAAAGCGAGAAATTCGCAGCTGCTCAAGATGCTCCAACAGGGAGAAAGTGAGTTGAACATTTCCGAAATACACTGCAGAGCCCTTTTCTTAATTTCTTTATCTCTCTGAATGAAGATGTAATGTGATCTGATGTGTTATGATGTCTCGAACCTCTCTCCTTCAGTGAAAGATAAAGCAGAAATCCTTCTACAGGTAGAAGAGCTACTACATATAAAAGAAGAACTGTCATCACAGGTGTGTTATATATGTTACATTGATATATGGATTATGAGAGAGGAACATGTGTGTGAGATATATTTGTACATTTATGTGCATTTAAATAATGTTTCTTTTTTGTTAAATAGGTAACATTACTACACGGTGCCCTTGAACAAGAAAGATCTAAAGTCAAAGGTCTGCAGACAGAACAACCAAAACATCAGGTGAGAGTTCAGATAATCCCTCGCTGTCTCAGAGTTGAGTTTAAAAGAGACAATTTGCTGTCGTACATTTTACTGTGTGTTTTAGCCGATGTTCATGTGTGTGCGTGTATATGTGGGTGTGTGCACTAGCATGCGTGTTCCCTCTTTCTCCGTCTGTAGACCAGACAACAGCAGTCAGTCAGGCAAAGTGATAAACGTTGCAGTGTAAGTAACAGGCCCAGCACAGAAGCACAATCATACAAGAGCATCATTTACTTTAGTACTATACCCAGGTCAGGTCAGGATAAAAGTAAGCTTAGTTGCCACAGGGAATTCCATTGTCTTTGACCTTTACTTCAATTATGTCAATAAAATACTGTTTTACTTGTAAATAATTGTGTACTTTCTGGTCTTTTCTGGTTGGCAGGGAAACAAGAAAGGGAAGAAAGCCTCGGAGATGGATCTATGAAGGTTTCAAAAGGAAAACACCTTAAAAGAAAAAATTCAATGAATGAACAAATGAAGAAAAACTTATCTGATCACAATCAGGGTTCTCTTTCCTTTTATTTCTTTTTAGCTCGGACTCCATGTGAGCATACAATGCATGCCCCCATAATCTCTCCACACACACACACACACACACACACACACACACACACACACACACACACACACAATACAATCCAGGCATTGCAGGATGTATTAGACCATTGAACAAGAATCACTGAAGCTTTTTGAAGTGACTAAGTTTAAAGTTTGTGTTGAAATGGTTGCTTGGCACACAGTGCTGCCCTCTGCAGGCACAAGCGTGCCACTTCATCTATAGTACTGCTGCAGGCTGTGTGCCTGATCTCTGTCTGTGGTAACGATGCCAAAATGACAGATGTAAAATGTATGGGTTTGTTTGTTTTTTCTTTCTCACTGTTAAGTAAATAATCAAATAAAATACTTTTTCAGTGAAAAAAAGCTTGATTTCTTTCGTGTATTGTCATGAATGAAGAAATAATAGTTATCTAAAATAATTAGATAAGTATGGTGTTGAAAATAACATAATTAGATTTTATGATATAATAGATTAAAAAAATTCCAGTTATGAAAGAGAAAATAAAAACTGGTGTAAATCAGAATACATCTCTGATAAAGGTGTTTTAAGAAGAGATTGTAAAAGAATTGTAACTGGCTGTTGATACACAATCCTAATCTTCATAATCTTGTGATGGGAAACTAATAATTTTATATGTTAAAGCTCAACCCTTACTCTTACAGCTTGTGCAGCATAATTAAGTTGCAAGAGCTTTTGAGTTTGGAGATTATAATATTTGACCTTGGCATAATGCAGCAAATTTTGAGATATTTTTGAGGCTGTGAGAGCATTTTTTAAAAAGTGAAATCAGAGCAAATATCAGAACTGCTGAATTTGTTACAGATGTTTTTGGGGTACTATATCTTTAAATGAACTCCAGTTATATAACTCTTGGGCATGAAATGATTTAACCAGGCTGCTCGCAGTGGCACCTATGTAAAGAACTGTACATTATAAAAGGGTACTTCATAAGGGCGTAGGACTGTATCTGCACCACCCTGCGCAGTCGGGTCAGAGCTAGCGCACATCCACACAACTTTCTGCCGAGTCATCGGCACAGACGCGCACCTCCGGCCCGCCACTGTGCGCTCCTCTCTCTCTCCAGGTCCGTTCATCTCCATCCTCAGCCCGGACACCGATGAGATGTCAGGCGCGGTGAAAGATGAACCGAAAGGAACGAGTGATCTTCGGAAGTCCGAAACGATCCACGTTGCCGTCAAAAGTCTCACGGAGAGCAAAAACTTGACCGTGAGAGGAGGCTGCAGCGTCAGGCAGGTCAGGAGACCAAACGCACTTATTTTGGGGTGTGAACTCCTGTGATTGGTTGCTATGTGCGGAATAAATAGGGCTTGATTTGCGCAAAGAGTTGTCTAATGTTTTTGAAAACCTGATCAGATGTGATGTTTGGGTGTGTGTGTGTGTGTGTGTGTGTGTGTGTGTGTGTGTGTGTGTGTGTGTGTGTGTGCGTGCATGCAGCTGAAATGGTGTCTTGCAGAGCGCATAGGAGTCCCGGCAGAGCGGCTGGTCCTGATCCACTCCGGCCGGGTCCTCAGAGAGTCAGAACTCCTGAGTCACCTTAAAGCACAAGATGGCTCAGTCAGCCTCTGCATGATCCAAAGGTACAGATGTACTGTAGATGTGCTGGGAGGAGAGGGTAGAAACAGGGATCGAGTGGAACATCTTTTACTTTTATTTCTCTTATGAGCTCAACTTTCTGTGTTTCTGTCAAACACCAATAATCTTCAGAGGATATTCTGTTACATGCACATATCAATATGGATTCATGTGAAGCAGTATACTAGTCTCCTGAGGTATGTAGATAATAAGGATGAAATCATTATTAATGAGCATTATTAGTTAAGGAAACAGACTCCAAAATCTATTACTTGTGATACTGAAAGAGGCTACACATCAAAATGCTGAGTAATTCTCTGCTGTTCTGTATTTCTGAGGTCAACCTTTGCCTGCGCACTGTCCATGTGTCTGCTGACTCATTCCCCAGCACATATTGTAACTAAGTAACTATTCTCTAACTACACTGTAAATATGGGGGTCACACACTAAAGATAATGTATGCTAATTTACCATAATGTACATTTTGTACCTTGAAATAGTATTCCACACAGCATGTGGGTATCAAGGGCAACTGTGAGGACTCCTTATTTATGTAAAAGTATGTATTATCAGCAGAATAATACAGTAAAATGGTTTAGGTCAGTGTTTTACTTTTATATATAATGTTTTTGACTGTTGACCGCTGCAATAATGTGTAGTAGATGTTCAAGGTTGTTTTTATTTTAACAACTTCATACTGTTGGGTAGCTTATTCTCCAGCAATGCATCATATTACATAAAGTTATCATATGTTTGTAGAGTCACTGTCCTGTGACTAAAAGCAAACAGTCCTGTTTTCAGTCACAACGCATTTTCCAGCTAATTCATCAAGTTTTTATTACATAAATTATTAATCTGAAGAAGTGGGCACGTTGTCTCAGTCAATAAAGTGAAACTTAAAACTTCCTTCAAATTTGTTTTAAAAAATAAAAATCAGCAACTTTGTAGATACGTGTTTTTCACTGGACAGGAAGGGAATGAAAAAATTTTAGAAAAGTAGCTGTCAGACGAATGTAGTGGAGTAAAAAGTACAATATTTGCCCCTGAGATGTAGAGGAGTAGAAGTATAAAATAAAGCATCTAGATGTAAAAGTATCTCATGTATTTTTTTGTATTTGACTAAATGTACTTGATTCTTGATACTTGTAGATTCCACCTCTGGTCACATGTTATTTTTGTGCGCAATGTCGGTAAACCAGGAGCATTTATAGGAGGATTATATCTGAATCTAAAAATCATATAGAAAGACAGTAAATGTGCAGCATCACTGTAGATGAAGATGCAGCACTGCTAAATATAGAACTGCACCATATTGTTTTGTTATTGTTCGTGTAGTAAGACCTGTGCGACAGTAAAAGACTACCACAGTGAAATTAAGTTTATATCTCTGAGTATGAATCAGAATTAAAACTCATATGGGTACAAAAAATGTCAGAGGTCAACAAGGTCAACAACCTTTTCAGTTCCCAAGCACTGTGACTGTTATCTTCTAATACTTAAGGCTTTTAAATTCAGCAATAGTTTAACATAATGGGCTAATTAAATAAAATATATATACATGCCTACATGTGTTCAACAGTACAGGAACTCTAGATTCAGATTCAGTCCGTCCTTCTTCGTCTACTGTTCCCACCAGTGATCCAGCTCCAGAAATGGTCCAGTCAGAGCTCACAGTCGTTCCCAGTCCTGAACCTGATAACTTCACACCGTCTCCCACCTCTCCCCTCTGCCTGGGTAAGAACTCCTCTCACCTCCAATTATCTTCTGCTTTTTCTCACATCATATTTGCATTTTGTCTACACCGATAAGCCATAAGGATATGTTGTAAGTATGTTTCAGTTACAGTAGTTTCCACCCTCTCTATCTTGCCTTACATGCTTTTGTTCTTTTGATCTGATCTTGTTTCCATAGTGGAAGGTCTGGACAGTCTTGGGCTGACAAACAGCGGGCCAGGCTTTTTCCCCGCGCTCCAGCAGCAGATGGAGAGCCAGCTGCTGGCTGACCCGGAGATGATGCGCCATGTCCTGGGTAGCCCCTTCGTGCAGAGCACCCTCTCCACCTCCAGTCCTCAACTGACCAGACAGCTCATTATGTCTAATCCTCAAATTCAGCAGCTCCTGCAGACAAACCCAGAGGTGGGAGATATGCTTAACAACGCAGATGTCATCACACAGGTGGGGATAAAAAAGGGGTGTGTGTGAGTGTGTGTTTGAGGAGGAAGCCTACAGATTAGTAAGGAATTGTGATTCGGTGTGTGTATCTTCTTGCTCTTGCTTCCCTCTCTAGGTGCTGGAGCTCATCAGGAACCCTGACTTGATAGAAGATGAAGACGAAGAAGAAGAAGAAGAAGAAGAAGAAGAAGAAGAAGAAGAAGAAGAAGAAGAAGAAGAGGAGGAATACCAAGAAGTGATGAATAATGAAGACAGAGCACTGAACAATTTGCCAGAGCAGGACAACCCTGAAACCACCTCTGTCGATTCTGACGGCCTTCAGAACACAAATAGACAAAAATTATCCCAGGTACAGGTTTGGAAATGTTTTCCTGAACAGTCTGTTAACACAATGTAAAATCTTGTGTTTTTGATCTGCTGTTTGTGGCATGTCTTCTCTACTCTCTTTCGTATTCAGATAGGAGTAGCACCAATGGTGTCTACAGCATCTGGGACTCAGCAGCCAGCTGAAAAAGAAAGCGAGCAGACCCCACCCCTCTCCAGTCCCACCACAGATCCTCTGAGAGAACTGACAGCCTCGCCCAGAGCTGATTCAAACCGCCAGAGCACCATTAGTGCAGGCAGGAAAATAACACACCCACACAATTTAACTAAGACAAAAAGTAAAAATAAATTCCTATAACTGAGTGACATGGGATAGGGAGGTAATCAGGGTCCTTTGATGTATTTTAAGTGAATTTAAAGGTGATCATACTCACTGCCATTTCCCCCTGAACAATCTAAGAAAACAGGTCATCAATTTTAATCGGCTAAACTATATCTATACATATATATTTCTCCCTGCTTCTTCCCTCTTTCCTCAGGCATGCAGTCACTGCTAGAGGAGATCATGGCCAGTCCTGGACTGATGGAGAGCCTGATGTCCGGACCGTATGTCAGCAGTCTCCTGAAGTGCCTCAGCCAGAACCCTGACCTGGCTGCACAGGTGACGCATACACAGTGGTGGAGGAAGTATTCAGATCCTTTACTTAAGTAAAAGTACTAATACCACACTGTAAAACTACTCTGTTACAAGTCCTGCATTGAAAATTATACTTAAGTAAAAGAACATAAGTATCATCAGGAAATTGTACTTAAAGTATCAAAAGTAAAGTACTCAGTGCAGAAAAATGCCCACTGTAAGTTTATATCTATATATATATATTATATATCTAATAAAATACCATATACAATATATATATATATAGTATTATGTATTATTACTCATGAATTAATGTTCATTTGTATAGTCTAGTAACTAGAGCTGTCACATAAATGTAGTGAAGTAAAAAGTATCCAGGTTATGGGTGGATGCAATTAGAATACCCATTTTCACTTGACAACTGCATAACATTTACTTTTTCCCAACCATGTCCTTTATTTTTTTAGAGTACATTGTTTATGGGCATCTGAATGGCTGAAAAATAATGTAGCATGCAATGCACAGGTGTGGAACCAGCCTACAATCTACTCCCAACCCCACTTCTTATATCCCGATCTCTCTACACAAATCCTACTCACTCAGACGGCCATATGGCTCTCATTTTCATCCTGTTTCAGATGCTGCTGAGCCATCCTTTGTTCTCAGGAAATCCTCAGCTGCAGCAGCAGATGAGACAGCAGATCCCTCTCTTCCTGCAACAGGTTAATTTACTCTCCTCACTATTAAACACTCTCACTTCTTCTAACTAGATAACACACAGTTTCTGAGTTACAGTAAAATGTGTTTTTTTTTATAAGTGGCCACTGGTTTTCCAAAGCAAACTCCACACAGTCTCTGCTCAAACTCCACCCAGTGCGTATTGTTTGTGATTAATATCTTTATTATTACTGGTCAATGATAAATATGTAGATGCAGAGTCCAGAGCTGCTGACGGCAATGTTGAACCCCAAAGCCATGGAGGCTCTGCTTCAGATCCAACAGGCCCTACAGACTCTGGCCTCAGAGGCTCCTGCGCTCATACCTATGTGAGCATAAATAAAACACTCACAGTACACCTCCAACCTGTAGATTACTCACAAGATAGTTTATTTTCTGGGTAGAAGCAGTACTTTTATGCGTGCGTTAAATCAATTGTATAATGGTCCATTAGTTACCACCATGTGTCTGTCTTGCAGGGCTGGACTCGGAAACATTGGAGCCAGCGTTGATGCTGCCCCTGAGCTAGGATCTGACTCTGCTCTTAACAGCCAATCAGGAAGTGGTCCAGGGGTTGCCACGGTGACAGAGCAGCAGCAGCAGCAGCAGCAGCAGCAGCAGTTTGTACAACAGATGCTACAGGCACTGGCCAACAGCAATTATGGGGTATCTCAGTATTTCCTTATAATGTTATCTGCTTCTGTAGTTGATCTGAACTGCTCCTTAATTTAAAATATCAACCGGTAAATACTTATTATTATTATCACAAAAGACAAGTATAGGATACATGTCCCCAATATTGAACTTATGAGTACCCCAGCAACAGTACCCCACTTAAGAGAGTAACTTCACTCGGTCTAATAATCCTGCTTTCACTGATTGTGGTGTGGCACCTACCTTTCAACCTATGGAGGACAGTGCAGCTATGTTTTCCTTCCATCTGGTGTTGAGATGCTCTTTAAAGTCACATAACTAGAACAGGAGTCAAGTGTTGCCACCTGTTGTTCCCACATGCATCTATACGAAACTACAGTAAGTATGCTGTGAACACATTTCTTGTCAAGATTCAGTCTAATTAAATATTTAAGTTTGTTTCATTTTTCTCATTTATTTAAATGTACAGTACGTAATTTCTGCTGTTAGGGGCTCTCTCACATTAATGACCCAAATCTTCATCCGGTTAAATACATAGTTAACAATGACAAAGATCTAAAAAAGTCATAAAAATGTCATTAAAAACTGGATAAAAAGACAATTTATAAGAGCTCAAAGGGGATATGACAAGTGAAACACACCATTAACTGAATAAAATTCCAGATTTCTCTGGGTTTAAACATTGTTGGGATAATGTTAGAACACAACTCAAGAAAATATATAACATTGGTCTAGTATTTTAGACATTTTAATGCAGAAATGTTACATATTGTATCTTTAAAAAAGGTTGAATGACAGTTCAGGAGAGACACAAGTGATGTTTTGTCAAACTTCACAGCACGTTTTCTCTCCCAGACGCACAACACCTGTTCACTAACTCTGTTTGATTGTGTTATTATAATAGGCAAGGCTTTAAATAACTCTCCTGTCATGTCCTGTCAGGTCCATGGCGAGGAGTTCCAGGAGGAGCTGGAGCAGCTGAGCTCAATGGGCTTCAGAGACAGACAGGCGAACCTTCAGGCCCTCATCAGCACAGGAGGAGATCTCACCACTGCTGTACAACATCTGCTCAGTCTCTGACGCACACAGATGTTGATCCGTGCACATATTACACAAGTGAATGAATGCACGTGTACTGACATTTACATGTAAGCACTTACACTCAAACATGATAATAATAATACAATTATGAATGATTACAAAGTGCTTTACAAATAAACCAACACATGAGACAATATTTATATTGTTGGACTTTCAAAGACACACTTACTTACATACTTAATTCTTTAACTTCCCACACTAACATCTGTCTGCACTAGTAAATTATATTCAGTCACTCTTACCCTAGTACACTTCTCCTTGTTATTGGGTGCCGAATGCTGTACAGATGGTTAAGCCCTTGCTTTGAGAACTGAGAAAACATACACATATACAGTAGGAGGACTTCCTTCCCTCTTGTCCTTCCAGAATGAGTGCTTTATGTTAATATTAGAGTAGAAACAAACACTTTTACTCACAGTGACATGCACTGGCACAGGGCCTTTAAAGGTACTTAAATCCACCTCACATATGTAGACTTGTAGCATACATATTCAGAAGCAGGTCATGTATTATTAATCTCTGTGCAACAAAGCTCAGGCCCCTTTTCATCTGGCCACCTGGACAAGAAGGAAAGCTTGTAACACCCAGAGACAGTCTGATGTCCTGGCAGCACACGGAGGATTCACACCTTCCGTCTCAGAGATTGAACCAGGTGCACAGTCCGATGTGTGCTGTTCTCACTCTCATTTGCTGCTTATGTGTCTTGTCCACCACAGGCTGTAGAGATCAGACACACCAGATAATTATGCAGTTTGTCTCCAAAGGTAGACTCAGCTCCAAAAGATGAATTTTAAATGGAAAGGTTGACTTTGTGCAAAGCAAAAAAAGGTGCTTGAATGTCAGTGTTTATCTCAAGGCCACACAGGCACAGAAACTGTGATTTGCAGTTAATCTTCTCTCCACACTCACCACAGGAGGAGAATCATATCAGGCGTAAAAAAATGGATTTGGGTCCCAAACTGAGAGAAAGGAATTTTAGGCCTTTTGAAACATCCAACACAACCTATGCTGATGATGATTATGATGAGTTACTTTACACTGGTGAGGCTGCTCTTAGAAACCCTTTGTGCCTAACTATCTTTTCACTGCACTGACTAGTAATACCTGGGATTTGTTGTTCATTCCTGAAGCTTATATTCAGAGGCGCTCCAGTAAATACACCACGCTACAGTGCTTTCGTGCCATAGGGAGTGGCTGCAGTGGCTTTTGTGTCCCTTTGGATTTCACTAAACAACTGACTGAGCAACATACTTCCACTCATCTAGCTGACTTGTGGATCTGATGTAATCAGGAAAAACTGTTGAATATTATTCTGTTATCTACTTTTTGTGTCAGTTAACATAATCCTGTTGTCCCCTAATCATGTATGTACGCACTATGTGTCATTTCACATGAATATATGATGATGTCGTGCTGTGTCATTGTAATGTTAACAGCTGTTCTGTGAAAAGGTTAACAGTTAATTACAGTTAATTACAGTAGTTTTTTATGGCTCCTTCAAGTAATTATTTACTTGAAGTTTTTCTTTTATATAATATGTCATAAAATAGGGGAAAATATATATCACAACCTCCCAGAGGCCAACATGGCGTCTTCAAGATGCTTGTTTTGTTTAACTAAGTTAAATGTTCAAATTACAAAAATATTAAACAGAGAAACGCAGTAAATTCTCACATCTGAGAAGCTGAAAACATGTAATGCACTTAGAGTTGGTGTAGCAACCACAAGCATCACCTCATGAAAGTCACACACAAACTGGTCTGCCATCTCTGACTGATAAAAACACATTAATTTACTATATAATCACAAACAGTGTAACTATATTTATACATATAATCCACCACACCTTTCACTGAATTTGAGAGAAAAACCTTTACTCATCAAAATTAGTTCAAACTGTTTTAAGTAGGTATTTTCCCATGCTATTCTATGTACTACTTACTCTACTCAACTATGAACACTAGATGGCAGTTAACACTTAACCTCTTCACTAATATCAGCTCTTTTGGTTTGTATTGCAGGAATTATGCTGGCACAAAATATTTTTGAGTGACCCTGAGTGTTAAACATTAAACATGACATACCAACTGGCAAAATTGTCATTTATTTTTTATAAATTAACACCAAACAAGCTCAAAGTCATATTTAATAGTGATTTTCAGCCGCCTATTAAAGTACATAATAGGATGCGTGTGTGTGTGTGTGTGTGTGTGTGTGTGTGAGGGTTGCAGTTTTCCATTCCTGCTTTTGTGTCCTCGCTCTCAGAGACCGTGTGGATTAACTGACACACTGGACGCATACTTCAGCATCAGATCACATATGTGTGTATGTGATCCACTTGACAACCTGTGTGTGTCTGTCTGTTGCTGCCAGACTGAGGGGTTTTAATCTCTGGTGGTGTGTATGTGCGTGTTGCAGAGTGTGTGCAGCCGTTCATCTGGATGTGTGAGATATCAGAGTAGCCAAGGGGTTTTTTTCTGGATTAGAAGCTCCTAAAATATTCGGGTTGAGGTTTTGAGATGAGTCACACCACAAAAACAGCTCTACAGTGCTGAGTGGAGGCGGTGTGTGTTCAGTAGAGAGTATGGGGCGTTGTGGTCGTGGTCACCTGTAAGTGTGGGTGTGTGTGTGTCTTCTAAAGATGCTTATACATCAGAAAAAAGGGATCGCACAGCTATACCTGATCTGACTTTTAGTATGTCAACAGCTGATTGTCAGACGAGCTAAATCTGCCTCACAGCAGTGTGTATCAGCAAGGTGTTCAATCTAAATCCCTTTAATCGTTTTACTTTATTCAGTGTGAAGATTGTACTTTAAGATTTGTTGGTGCATTTGGCAGGTGATGTCAGTGCATGAAAGATGGTTTGACAGATCAAATGATACAAAAACATGATTTGCAGTAGCAGCTAAACTAATCCATTTACTGATGCTAAGTTGTCAGGAACTCCAGCAAAGCAGCTTAGATTTTTAAAAATCTATTCAAGAGCAGATTAGAGAAACCTGTAATTCTGAAGGGAAAACAAAATCCCCAACAAAGATCATCTGGAGTCATCGGAAACAAAAAATAAAGTAGAATTTGTCAAGGAAGTGGTAAATCATTATAGTTTCCACAGGCTCTGGATTCTTCTGTCCACCAGCTAATTGTATCTTCCAAAACAAATTAAACCTAAACTATATAAATTAAAGTTTCTGGGATTTAAAAAAGTATTATTTTCTGAAATATGAATGGGTTCCCTGTAGAGCTGAAAGCATTAGCTAATTGATTGATTGAATCGACCCAGCTTCTGAATTGTGAGGATTTGCTGCTCTTCTTTGTCTTACTCTCTTTGTCAACTGAATACATTTGGGTTTTGGGCCGTTGAATGTCAGCACATGCAAACATTTAAATATTAATGACAAAGAAAAATAAAATATTAAACACAGGATTCCAAAACTTGAGGTATAAAATATTCAACCAAAACCGTCATCAGTCAATCTTCATTTCATATCCCAGCTGTAATGCAACTGTGCAAAGCCAAATTTCCCCTGTAAATGTTCCACGTCTGTCATAGCCATGTAACCAAATACATAAAAAATGATTTTCACCAACGTTAAATCTTCAAAGTGCCAGATTTTACAACGCTACCACAATCCAGTTCACTTAGAGTTAATATACTATCCTGTGAACATTTGGCCTTTTTCTTTGTTGCATACTATTGGAGATTCAGGTCTTATTCACAAAAAAAATATTTGCAATATCAAATCAAATACCAGCATTAACTGGAATGGCACTTCAACTGTGTTTGCTGCAGTTTTCAGAATCAATTCCACCACAGGATGATTCTGCACTGAAGCGCTGATGAGTAGATCAAACCAAATATCCCACTACTGTCTAGTATGTCTGTGGTTTTGTACCACAGCTGGGACAATGCTTTATTTCTCACCTTCATTTAGATATAAACTGGATATGGACTGCGGATCATAACAAGATTAAAAGGCTATGGTCGTGCTAGCAGCTCTGTAAGGCTCAACTTACTGTAGGCACAGTGAGCTAAAGGTTAACTAGTTCACATTTGCATGCAAACAATGGCAATATTATCGTACTGATGTTGACCATGTTCATAACCTCTTAATTAGGTGTGTTAACATGCTGACATTTGCTAATTAGCACTAAACACAAATTACAGCTGAGGATGATGGGAATGTCATTAGTATTTGGTCATAAACCAAAGTACTGGACAAATTATAAATTGACCCGAGGATGCTGCTAGATCAGGGGCCAGCAACCTCAGGAAGGCACGCAGCTTAACGAATGGAGCACTTTTTTTTTTAATGCCCTTTTACCTGCATGCCAAATTACCTCTTTCGCAGCCATTGGCAGTTGTGCTCCCTGTCTTATTAAAGCCTCTCATGGCTGTATGTATGATCTTAACTCAGATGTGGATATTTTCATAAGGATTGCAGCCTTCTTGTATAGTGCTCTTATATACAATTACAATGTCCTTATTATTAAATGTTGCTATGCATGTTGCCTATAGGGATGGACTGAAATTCCAATTAAAATTTTGATGGGGTGTCAAAACTTAATGTTAATCTTAATGTTTATATGGCACACTGGTTAACAAGAAAATCAAAAAATGGCACTTCAAAAAGATTGTCGACCCCTGCGCTAGATGAAAGGTGAGGGCATTATGGGGTTATTACAATTCACTCTGTGGGGACCCTGAATGTTTGTACAAAATTTGTGCCAAACTATCAGAAAGATGTTGAGATATATCACTGGATAAGTGAAAACTCTGAGCTGCTGGTGGCACAACGGGAAAAGTCAGGGAATCATGGAAGTGGTCCTGCAGGGACACTGAATATCTGCTGCAAATTTCATGGAAATCCATCTGATAATTGTTGAGATATTTTAGTCTGAAAACAGAGTGGTGGACCGACTTACTAACCACCCCTAGAATGACTAAAAACTGATGATTTCTCTCTTTCTCGTTTGATCTGCGGCGGTGGTCAAGGCATCGGTGACGACTTGAGACTGATGACGTGCTGCTCGACCTCCCTGGCCATATCACTGATGCTCCTCCTGATGTCCAGAAGCAACACGTTCTCCTCATCCAGTGGAGGCTCTAAAACATCAAACTGGGAACGCAGCAGGTCTGCTCCCATGTAATGTCCCCTCCGGGCCACCATCCTCTGGTGAAGGAGATCGTAGTCACCATGCAGGTAGAGGAAAAAGACATCGGGACAGGAGGGAGGCAGGACATTTTCGTCTAGATCGGAAGAGGAAGAGAGGGCTTTGGAGCCATAGAGCAGGATCTGTCTGTACAGGCGCTTTAGAGCGGAGCAGACCACAAGAGCATCAGAGCCTGAACACCTTTCTCTGAGATGGGAAAACACATGTGCACATAGTTAGACTGAAATGTTGTGTGGATAACAATAAAAATTTTAAAAGCAGTAATGAAACAAACTTAAAAAAAACTTAAAGTGAACTCTGGTGACAGACAGCCAGAGAGCAGCAGGAGGTGAAGAGAAAAGAAGGGACACATGGATGAGCTGATAGAGAGAAATAAGTGTGACTGTGTGTAGAAGAGTTTAGGAAACGAAGTCTTTGATGCTGCCGCAGACATTTTAAGAAAGAGATGGCATACTTTTCAGCTCTCCCTCACCTCTTTTCTCACTCACTTAATCTGTCTTTACTCTCCCTTTCCTCGCTCTCTGGTTTTCATGTCAATTTTCAAAACCATCTTTGATATTTCTGATCTTTTTTTGACAATTTCACGCCCGCATATCCTTACTTCGCTCCTCTGCTCTTCAGCTCCCTCTCACTCTCTAAAATCATCATCTCCGCCATTTCTGTCATTACAAAAAGTATGTTGTGTTTTCAGTGCATGTGGGCATGAGCATAATATTACTGTGTGTATAAAAGGTTTGTTTATTCTTACCTCTCAATGACTTCATGTAGTTTGAGAAGCCAAGGAAATCTGTCCTGCAGAGACAAACATAACAACTGGTTATATTTTGGTTAGAAAAACAGCTTGTTGCCAATTTTTTTTCATCATAGTTGTCATTGTTAAGAAAAGTTTTTAATCTTTATGATCCATATTTAAACTATGTTTATGAGAACTGTGTCTGTCTGGTGTTAGGAGCTGAGCAGGTCATGTGCAGTGGGTTCAGAGGTTTTTCACTAATAAGCTGCCTGCCGAGAGTGATGAATGAGAATGAGTTTTTTTTGTCTACAGACACCGGGGGTCCCCTTCAGTGGAGGCCGCCAGAACAGACAAACCAAAAGCTGGCTCTAGATAGGGCATTTCACGTTTTTCACACATTTTATGGCCACCTTAGTTTCTCCTCTGTGCTTGGAAAGGGAGGGTGAAAGCGAGTGAGTTGAAATCTGTAACTACACTGCTAGATGATACTTAAATCCTGCACACTGCAACACAGCCTCTGGCTTTTCCCTTAATAAAACTGGGTGGGTCACATCACACACACTCCTAGCTTCGGCATATCATCGGCCATCAGAGGGGAATGTCGTGTACTGCAGAGCAATGCAGGACAGTTGCAGGGTGAGCTGAGCCTGCGATTGTGAAGCCAAACTGTGTCATCAAACTGAGGGTTGTTTCATAAATCCACCAAAAATATCCTCCTCTCCTCTGAAAATAAGACTAAATCATATATGGAAACTAAGTACACTCATAGCAGCAGTGAGCATAATGCAGCAGAAGCTGTGGAGAGTGTTTAAAGAACTCAAAGAGTCTTTTGAAGTACAATCAGGGAATAAAACAAGAATCAGACCGATAGAGAAGAGCACAAACAAATCTTTGATTACACTGAAATCAGAAACAGAATCTTAATTTGGTTACAACTGAACTGGAGTCACATTTTTCCTCACTGCTGTGCCTTTAATTTGAATGAGAGGAATCACATTCTCTCATGTCCTGTTTGGTTACGCCAACCTCAACCTGCCAACTGTAATACTGGCATGAAAGACACATTTTTGCCACAGCCTGACAGTAATCCCAAATTTACATTTCTGCTTCGTCTCATCATAAATTCTCAAACTGCCAAGCGTCGAGTATTTGTACAACATGCCAAAGCATTGGACAGAGCAGGTCCCAGAGTAATTCTCTCTGCCGTACAAAGCAGATTTCTGAGTGGGAGGTTATCATCAGCCACCAAACACTGCTACCAGCAAACTGCTGCCAAATGCTGGCAGCAGCTTCTCTGCCTGTAAGTGTGTAAACTCAATTTTGGAAGGTAGCCAGTCAATTACTTGGAGGTCTCCCCTTTATTTCAAAAGTGAAAATGGACAGAGAGGAGATAAATGTTGAACAAACAAGAAAATAAATTCCTCTAGTGAACTTAAGGACTGTGGGCTGTGATGAAATGCTCAGTTTCCCTCCCTGCTGCTTTCACTTGTCTGCTCTAGTGAAGCTTCCTCAGGCCACTTGTTGAGTTTGAGTCTGTGGCTGCAAGTCTGAAACAATGATTTACTCATGAGATAAGAGAAATGGCTCACTCCATAAATGACTGACATTTAGTCCGAGCTGACAAGACACCTCTAGCAGATACACACACACACACACACACACACACACACACACACACACACACACACACACACACACACACACACACACCTGGGCTGACCTGGTCTGTGAGCGGTTCACCACGAGTCATCTTCTCAATGTTCTCCTGCGGGTGGAAGTCATCCCCTTCATGCATGGGCCAGCCCAGCTGATGAGTGCATACGAGTGAGTGTTAAGTCACACGGTGTGCAGAAACATGATGGAGGTGTGTTTGTGTGTGTGTGTAGGGAGGGGGATGGATCCAATTACCTTTTCTGATAGGAAGGCCCCTAAAGTGCTTCTGTTTGAGAAAAGACGAAACAGACAGAATTGATTAAGTGCAGTTATGATTGACCTAAAACCACTGATCTGTTCGCCTGCTTTAAGCCAATACTTTACTGTCAGACAATTTAGTCTGTTTGTGACAATGAGTCAGCAGCTATAATGATAATCAAGAAATATTTTAAAACTTTTTTTAAGCAAAAAGCTCAACATTACCTCAGTTATGACGAATTATTTAAGTTAAACGATAAGTTTAAGTTATGGTTATTTGAATGTCTTTGTTCTTTTGGATGACAAAACAATAAATTGAGGCCATCGCCCTGGGCTTTAGGACACTGCGATTACCATTTGTGACTTTTTTCTTAACTTAATGTACTAATTTAATTAATATATTAATCAAGAAAGGAATCAGCAGATTATGAGATATTGAAAATAACTATTAGTTGCAGCTCTGCTGTGTTATTTTGGTGTTAAATTATAATTCATTTACAACCCTTACAGCACTGTGCTGCAGTTGGTTTACTGTTAACACTGCAACCAATATGTAACATAAATAGCTGATAAACTACCACCTAATGATCACTCAGCAAATATCTAATTTATTTTCTCCAAAGCATTTACGCATCTTTTTCCTCAGGTGACTAATCAACTAATTTAAATACTATGTGCCAAAATTATTATAGTTAACTAAAACTAAACTAAAAAACGGTGTAAAAACATTTAGTTAACTGCACTAACAATTTAGGAAAAAACTAAAAACCAGCTGAAACAATACTTTTTACTTACAAAACAAACTAGAATAAAATAAAAATCATACAGGAAATGTCTTTAGTCTGTCAGTTTGGTCAAATCAACACAACAGAGGAGGCATTGGTGCATATGTTTATTGTGACTGTGAGTCAATGTGTTTGTATTACAATACCTATTCTGACAAATACCTCTATATTATAATAAAAACAACTAAAACTATAACTGAAACTAATAAAAACTAAAACTAATACAGTAAACATACTTTCCACAGCCTGAGACTCCCATTATGATGTAGATCATCCTGTCTGTCTGATCTTTAGACACCTACAGGCAGCTCCTGTCCTGAAATGGGATTAAAGAAGAAGAAAATTAATTTTATAAATGCTGACATGGTCAACAAATCGCCTCTGAAACAGGAATGTGTAGTAATAGTATCAGTGCTCGTGTACCGTTACAAATGAACCGGTGGTGCTTCCGTAGATGCTGAGCTCTTACTCACACAGTCGTTAATTCACAGGTGTAGCCTACCATAGTTTATTATAGTGCTGACATGTAAACAACTCATAACTTTTCGTGACTACGAGAATACGAACAGAAAAAATTAAACTCTAATTTTCAGTAAAAACTCAACTGAACCATAAGAAACCCTGAATAAGTCCAATGGAGTCAATATGCTTCCTAAATGACTTGTTCCCATTGCCAGCTTGTACCATACGGATGTAAAAAAAATAAAAAAGAGCACCATGGCCGCAGGTTGTTTTGCTGCAGTACGTGATGACGCACGTAGCACGTCGGCTACGTTCACACTTAAAGGGCCAGCGTCGCTTTTCTGTAACACTGGTCAGATTACGTTGAAGGGAAACGGTCGACGTCATTATTGATGAGAATAAAATGATCTCACAGGTCAAGTGAGTTTTGACCGCGTTTTTTTGACTGTTTTCTGACCACGAGGTTCGATCACTTTATGACATAATTTTCTCAAAATCTCACAGGTGAACGCAGATATTTACACAAATTCACATTATGCACAAGTTAAAGGCAGTGTAATATGACTGTTATATGCATCTTGGAATCTGTATATATTAGCATGATCAGTTGCCCCTAAAATAATGAGTTCAGGGAGCCCTTAAAACTTTGGAAAACATGAAATGAGTCAGTGATTTTTGTTTTTTTCTGAATTATGAAAACCTGACATTGTAAAAGGGTGTTTCAAATTCTACAGGGCGGGTGATCTGTCACCAAACACGTGGGATCAATAATTACAATGTGAAGGTTCATGCTGAAATTTGGAAAGAGAGAGAAAAAAAAGTGGGGGTGAGCGAACCAGAGAGAGAGAGAGAGAGAGAGGGAGAGGGAAAAAGCCATCCTCCCTCCTGTAGATCCATCAGTAGGCAGGCAGGAGACGGATGCAAGCTCTCCTCCCTCCCGCTCTGTTGCATTCATCCATTCTCTTAACCCTCCATCCATCCATCCCTCCATCCACCCATCTCTCCATCCACCCATTCACTCCCAAGGGCGTCACAAGGGGGTGACACAAGACCCGACCGAAAGGCGCATACATGTATGCGCGTGTATGCGTGAGTCCTCCGTGTATGTGCGTCTGGTCTGCCCGTGGATCCGCTGACATGAGGAGCTGAAACAGAACCGAACAGGAGGATGAAAATGCTCCGGTTTCGCAGCCCCAGCATCCGCTCCTTGGACCAGGAGGTCCTCTGCACGATCCGGTTACTGGACGACTCCGAGATCTCCTGCAGCATCCAGGTAGACTCATCCACCTCATGCATTGTCCTCTGTTTATTGCACATATCACGTGGACGCAGCGGATGAATTTCCTTTAATTATACGGGTGAATTTAAAACTATTCTCGATTTAATTCTGTAACAACCCCTAATTGTTTGTTATTATTCTGATCATATCGTCATTTTTGTACAAAACAAAGAGCATTTGAACACATTGTTCCTCTAGTTTCCACGCTGCTGTGATTTACGGGAGAGGTTGCATGCTTTGCTCTGTACTGTGAGATGTGACGAGTTTTTTATTATTATTTTTTATTTAAAAGCAACCCAATAGTGATCCCAGCTGAGTCCAAGCAAGATGTGACCCACATGGACGGAGAAGTTAGGATGAAGTTTTTGTTCATAACAGAGGAAATTGCTTGAGGTCCATGGGTGTGGTGGTGATGATGGTGATGATGATGAGGACAGAGAGGACTGCTGTTTGGGTTATTGATTGCAATTACTCATGTGAAGCTGTGTGTGTGTGTGTGTGTGTGTGTGTGTGTGTGTGTGTGTGTGTGTGGGAGAGAGAGAGGGAAACTTCTGTTTCTGTTTCTTCTGCGTATAAAGGTGATGATACATGCTGTTTCCACGCAGCCGGCTTCAAGTGGCCCTGCCAGACAACCAAGAGTCTCTGTAGCACTCAGCTGATAAGAAGCTGCATTGTCACACAGACGTAGACTATTTGGAAATCAAAAGATTTTAGTGTAAGACGAGGATTTACTCTACTCAGGAAAAGTTTCAGCTTTCAATTTAATTAGCAATTTCCAATATAACTTTGAAGAGATCACAATCTTTCTTTCTTTCTAATCACAGTCCTGTACACTTCTGTTGATTACTTGTCTTTTCATGTCAAAATCTGTCTCATTGTGCCACCAAATGAGTGAAACAAGCATGATGAGGTGTTTTTTCTGAGATGTTTGCATGTATATGAACTGCGGTGCAAATATAGAAAAAAAAGGTTATATCCTCAGTCTAAAAGCAGATTGATGATGATGACTTTACAACATCCTGATCTGTTATCTCAAAAAAATGCCACAGTCAGCGGCATCAAAGTTTGAGCAAAAGAGTTGATCTGTGAGTTACAGCTTCATAATTGGTGTTTTCTCTTCATCATTTATCAGGTTTGAGAGGTTTTTGTGTTGTTGCCTTCCCAGAACTGTAGCTCTGAACTGTAGTTGGAAGGCCTCTGGTTTTCTGATAATTTGTAGCTGTTAACATTAACTTTAGCTCAGTGTTTCTGACCAGACATGAAGCCTTGGATTTGTAATGCAGGGGTTAGTGAGAAGGCTTTGGGTTCAAACCTTCTGGCTGTCTTTCTGTGTGCAGTTTGCATGCGCTCCTTGTGCCAATGTAGGTTTTTCTCTGGTGCTCCGGCTTCCTCCCACAGTCCAGATACATGTAAGTTAGGTTAACTGGCAACTCTAAATTGCCCGTATGTGTGAATGTGAGTGTGAATTGTTGGCCATCTCGACGCCAGCCCTGTGATTGACTTCCGACCTGTCCTGGGATCGGCTCCAGACTCCTGCAACACCCCAGTGAATAGTGGGTATAGCTATGGATATATGGGTCGATGGGTTAACGCCAACAAGGAACTGATGCACGAACCACCACGTAAAACGAAAGAAAACTGAACTAGAAAACTGACATAAAAGGAATAACAAGTGATCATTGGATCCAGTGAATTGATAGTGGGCTCTAACTATTCTCATTTGAATACTGGAACCTTTTTGGGCTGCCTGAACAAAGCAAAATAAGTTTCCCCTGTTTACACAAACAAATTAGATCCTGTGTGGCTCATGGTCCCCTCCAGCTCTGAGCTGCAGCTGTTGCCAGAGAGGTAGAAGTCAAATCCTGTGAATCTGCCAAATTGTGACTCATAATTATACAGCACACACGAGTTTAATGGAGAAAATTCAGTTAAAAAAATAGATGCAATGCTACAGTATATACTATTCTATTCTATTAAATTATTTCCAGCATTGCACCAAATCCTTTGAAGCAGCACCAGCTTGTTGACAACCCAGAGAGTTGCACAGAGTTGAGAGCGCAGTGAGTGAACGCAGCTCCGAGCAGCACCTCGTCTCATCCTGAGCCGCCCCCAGAAGAAGTTGTCAGCTGCCCCGGCCCTGTTGTCTGACCCTGAAAGACTGAAAACACTCGCAGCATGTCAAACTAAATGTTTCGCTGGTCTTCCACATGTACCCAATCAATGATTTACAAAACACCGTAAAGTGCACTAAGAGAGAAGGAGAAAGAGAAGCAGAGAGAGGTTGTGTCTGTTTCTTTGTGTTGCACATGCATGTATACCTGCGTGCTTGTGGCTTTGAGAGCACAAAAGTGTGTTAAACTCTCTGTACACGTCTGAGAACATTCAAGTGTGGCTTCTCAGCTCCAAGACAGCGAAGGTGTGTAGGTGCTTTTAGCTGTGTGTTTGCGTATCTATACACGATAAGGAAATGGACATTTATATTTCTAGCTGACTGCATTTTCCAGGGTTTTCTTTAATGGCTTTGTGTTCCGGTGCTGAGCTGCTCCTTCCTACATATTTCATGACATCCTGTGCTCCTCATGCTAACAACAGCACTTCTCCTCTTTCCACTGTACAGAGACTTCCATCTCTTATTTTATCTGCACTGTCGCAGTCTGTCTTTCTTATTTTGTCCTTTCTGCCTCTCTATCATCATCAGGATGAGATGCCAAAGACAGCACTAAATTGAATGCCATTGTAAAAGTCGTGTGATAAAAATGTTCTCAAGTTGTGCTTGTGAGCAAATGCATCACAACTGAATAGTTTGTTTAACATGAGCCTGCAATGTCCGTATTTCCTTTAACTTCTCTCTAAGGCGTCAGTTCTTGACTTTGCATTAAACATGGGTGCATTAGCCTTGTTCCCTTGGGGCACAATGTTTGGCACCGCTTGGATTATCCTGGTTAAATGAAGACTATAAAATACCAATTTTACGCAGTTTTGCCTAAAAATGGATGAATATTTATGACTGGAATGGTCATTGCGTAACATATGTCTCATTACTGTGAGCACAAAAATAAAGGAAAGGCTTATGTTTGAATAGCACCTTTCAACAACAAGGCAATCCAAACTGCTTTGCATAAAACATAAAAGACACAATATAAAAGAAACACAATATTATATAAAAATACCCATATCAATAAGATATTAAGAGTAAAATAAAATGAAAGATAAAAATGAGTTAAAGTGAATAAAACTGAATGCAATGAATTGCAGGGCAAGATATGAATGAATTGCCACAAATTGTATTTAATGAAACTGCAAACAAACTCATTTTAACTTGGAGCAGATGTTTTCTGGGGGTTTGTTTAAGGATATTTAGTAGTTTAGTAGTGCTAATAGTTGTTTTAATTGCTACAGGGTATGATAAGATTTAAATTATTTCTTACTTTTAGAAAGCACACACAGTGACATTGCAGCCCAGTGTGAGTTTCAATGCATGTTCATCAAAATTAAAACACACCATCAACGTTTTTAACTATCTCAAGGTATCTGAGTCTGTTTCCTCATATACGATTCACTGATCAGTCATGTGACTGATACATTTTCATAAATACCAACTATATAAAACAATAATATCAACATTATTTTCTTCAAAGATTCTATTTATAAAATATTTTTAATCTTAAAATTGCAAGAGAAATATAAATAACCATAAATACAGAACATATAATACAATCATCTTTACAGTTTTTATCCTAACACACCAAAATCCATTTTCAACAAATGTTATATTCTTTCAACCACGTTTTTCTAAGATGTTTATGTTTGTGTATCAGGGAGAATGGATGTGTTTTCTTTATCACTATATACACATTTAGATTGATAAATTTTGAAAAGATTTCAGGTTCTGGGTCACAACGACAAGATGACAGCCTACAGCAGAGAATAATTATTTTTAAGTTGTTTACTCTGACTCTAATAATAGCTTGACAGCAGACTATAAGGCAGGTAGAGAGGGTATGTGTGTGTGTGTGTGTGTGTGTGTGTGTGTGTGTGTGTGTGTGTGTGTGTGTGTGTGTGTGTGTGTGTGTGTGTGTGTGTCTACAGCCTGGGGGGTTGAACGTGTGCAGCCTGCTGCTCTCATGTTCAGCGGTAATGTTAAGTCAGACCTGCTGCAGGAGAGACATGTCAAGATCAAAACACAGTGACCTCCTCTGCTTTTCAGTTCCTCCCATCTGTCCTTCTCCTCTTTCCCTCCCTCGTCTCTCTTTCACCCCACTTATTCTCTGCTCCACTTTCAGCTTCATATTTACTCCTCTGGCCACCTTTTCTCACTTTCTATTTTTACATCTCTCATCTATATCTTCTTCCTCCCTCCATCCTCTCTATCTCTCTCTTCCTCCCTCCTTCTTCTCTGTGACACATCATGTATAATTAAGAGAGATCACTGTTCTCCGTGAGGCCAACATCAGTCAGCTGTCAGCGATGCGCTACACCACGAGTGTGTGTCCGTGTGCACATATATTTGTGTGAGCTTGGAGGGTGGGGTAGCCATGGCTCACTTGCATGAAAGATTTAAAAGTAGCCAGTGAGCCAAAGTTCTGCAATTACGGACATTAATTCACCGCACTTAGCAATAAATGACTGCATGGCACAGAAATAGCTTGCAATCAGTTTAAACCTGCCGATTGGTCTGTTTCTATTCTAATGGGAGACACCTTATCAATAATGGGAGATGACATGACTAGTACAAGCTATTTAAAGATGCATATGGAAGCTGGTATTGTTTTTCACTGCGTCTGCCTTTTACCCGGTCAAGGAGAGGTGTGTGTGTGTGTGTGTGTGTGTGTGTGTGTGTGTGTGTGCGTGCGTGCGTGCGTGCGTGCGTGTGTGTTTAGCTGAGGTGGTGCTGGTGTTTTATTTACTAGCTTTTTTGTGGCTGGATGTGTGTGTGTGTGTGTGTGTGTGTGTGTGTGTGTGTGTGTGTGTGTGTGTGTGTGTGTATTAACGAT